CAATGGCTGGACAGAATCGCGTTCGATGAAAATTCTTTTCACGTTCCCCCTTCTCCTCGTACGTCGATTCAAGGTGCTGCGAGGTATGGTTCTTTTCCCCTTTTTCTCCTCTTTCGTTTCTTACATTTCTTCTTGAATCTTTGTTCGCCTCTCGCACTTACGTGGCTCGATTCGAACCGATCGGCCCGTCGGAAGAAAACTCGGCTTTTTCTGTTTTGCACGCTGATTTGGGGGTTGCGCGCACTGAAACGCGAGTTTGTGCCGACCGTCGTGGCGATTTGATGCATTCGAGTATGGGTTCGTCGAGACTATTCGTCCTGAAGTTAACACGTTGACTGCCGCGCGATTTCATAGAGAAAACACACAAAAAAGATATAATATTGGGAAATATGTAATATTTATCGGAAAAATATAATATTCAATCATTTAATTGAATTGCATTGTTATGGCACGTTTATGATGTATTATTTATAATATATAAATGTTTTCAGGTAATTATTGTTTAATTTGGTGAACTATATTAATTTGATTTGGTTAAGGGCATCGATGGCCCGCATGGCATTCAACGTGTTAAAGAAATATTTGTTAATCGATTCAATGGAAAATGGCGATTTTGTTTAACTTCAGCCAAACCGATGATTTTATAAAACAGTATTTTATAACGAAGCTATGAATGAAATTCATTTAATTAATGAATCTGTTATAACTATCGCTTCCAGTGCCCTGTCCAATGCAATTGCTAAACACAAGAAAATTATTTTTACTAATATTAATTCTTAGAAAATGCAAAGAAAGATGCATAAACTCATTACAGACGAGAAGTTCTGAAACATTCACCTTTTTATAAAAAACTGAATTGTGCATCGAAGTTTTAAATACTAGAAACGAAGCAAGCTGCATATCAATCTCTCGTTATTCGAGTAATTAAATTAGTCGTTTGGAGCTTTCGATTTCAGATATCGCATCTCAGAGTCACCATTACGACAGAAGGGTTGAAATCAATTTTTGATAATGATTTGACGAGTTCTCTTTTCACGATCCCATACTCTACACGCTTCTACAGCATACAAGTACACTGGCCCAGAAAAGTATTTAAAATCCATATATTTGTAACAGTAATAAACATCTCACCCTTTGTTATTCGATTTCAATGAAATGCATATACATTATTCTCTTATGTACCTCAATTATTCATACAGAAATTTCAAAGAACCTATTATTCTTCGAGTACAACATTTCCATTATAAATATATCCATTCGAAATACTTTCGAATTCCTTTTGTGCCAATGTATTCACCGTGTGCTGCGTCAAACGAGTCCTCCGCCATTTCCATGACCCCGGGAGCGCCTTATAATTCGATACAGCGATCCATTGTTAACACTTCGATCACACACTAAAACATCTACGCTTACACACTGAGTTAGTAGAATTTCGAGCAACACACAGTCCGCCGGGGAATATTCTTGTTCGACGAACACACGGCCAACTCACGGTGTATCCCTTGACAAAAGTTTCTAAGATACTTTCGAATTTTCCGTCCCCAGCCAACGTGAACGACGTGTGTTGCAGAAAGTCTACCTGTTTGTTCGCACTTACGAAGATGAACGATAACGCGAGAGCATAGCGACGGGAAGTTTCGGACGTTGATCACGTCACTTTTCGATCGAAGGGGCGCCGATCGTTGACGCGCTGTCCGCGAAAGGTTTATCGGTCGTTAACGGTCGCGTAGTACTACGATCCTGAGATATAAATGAAAATATTAACACGTTGACCGTCATGGTGGTCACTGATCAGCTTCTAAATTGCTTGAAAACAATTGTAATAAAAAGTTTTATTTAAAAAATATTTAGTCACATGGACAACTAAATAAAAGTATAACTTAAGAACTGTGGTACCAAGTCATTGATAATTAATTCTAGTACCATTTACCTTTGTTACATTAGTAAATTATTTATTACTTTATTCTTTACTAAAGAATAAGTAATATTATACGGAACGCTCGAAAATTCTCGTGGCAGTCAACGTGTTGAATACGTCTTCGAATAATTTATTCATTTTTGTGGAATTAGTCATTGCACCTTTGGAAATAAACCAAATGTAAATTATCTTGACTTTGTTTGGTGTAAATGTAAATATATAGTAAGTTGAATTTAAATATTTTGTATTTGGATTACAGATTTTTTAAATGTTAAATTTGTGAAGAATTTAAGACAATTCTTGGAAAGAATATTATACAACTTTATTGCTTAAATCGCGAATCATACGGCAGTTATTTTTGTATCGACCAGCGATGAATCATAGATTGTAAATATTAATCTACTTTTATCGACCAGCGACGAATGCGACAATACTACGTATTCTTATTGAAGTCTTAAAGGATTATACGCGACAAGTAAATGTTTAGATTCACGTATCGGTGAGGTTTATGCGTCAAACGAATAATCGGACAGTACCACGCTATCTCTGATTAATGTTAAATTGAATGTTGGCAGAAATACTCAATTAGGTACTATTCGGTAACAATTTAACACTAATATCTAATGAACAAATCAGTATTGATAAATAAGAACTGTAAATATCGTAATACCACGTTCATTCGTTAACCGTGTAATACTACGTTCTTACAGTTACGATTTTATGTCTCATAATTGAATTAATATAATTACAATTTATTTAATCACAATGAACTAACTGCAATTCATTTAATCATACAAATTTTAATTTCCATTAACTAATTGCAATCCATTCAATGTATTTAGTTTCAATTGCAATTAACCAATTGCGAAAATTCTATATGTCAATCGAATTACTTTTCCAATTACACAAATCTCTTCTCTGGCAAAAGAAGAATGACCAATATCGTTTTTAAAATATTCGTTCATCGTCTGACAGCGCGTCAACGTCGATCTATCACCCAAAGATCCACGCCGGAAAAAAGAGTCGACCGTTTCGTGACCGATCGTCGCACATCGAATTCGACACTTCGTTTTTACAAACGAGTTCACGTTTACAACGACACGTTTTTTTTGTCTTTTTGCTTGTTTTACGGCTACACATGCGGTTGCATATTAATGTTACCTTAATTTAGGTTCGGCAGTCCCGCTCGGCCGTCTCTTCGATCGCGCTTGGGCGCCCCTCGGCTCTACGGTACTGTAAAAATATTACAAATAGCCATTTCCTCTGTCTACCCGAGCGCGACCGATTTGACGTCACCGGATCCACGGATCCACCGGAGCCGCCGATTACTAAGCGATAGTTCTCAGTGCTTTCTTCGAGGGGAAAAAAAATAACGAAACAAAGTGCTACTTTCGTCCAGCCGCTTGCCTGAACAATAAGACACTTAACAGTTGGACGATCCCCCGCGCCGGGGAATCGATGAATGACCTCTCTTTCTTTTTTTTTCGGTTAGCTTCCTCTTTCTCTTCAACGCTTCCTTCGTTACACTGTTACTCCTCGTGCGACTTCTACCGTTGCTCTGTGCAACGAAACGAAATCTACGACGAGCGGGTATTAAAAACGCGTTTAAAAAATATCTTCTGATTGGCTGTATTCCTTTTTTCTTGGCGAGGGACATACTTTTTTTGAGGGGATAGCGTGGAAGAGGAAAAATGGAAGGACAAACAGAATAATATTATCGTCATTCGGAATTCCGTGTGTTTTGTATTCTTTTTGCTTCTTTCTTGCTTTGTGTTTAAGGTGTAGCGATTGAGTCGGGTCAGTTTGAATTACCGTAGAAGCTTCAATACTGAGAAATGTTAGATTTTTCAAGCAAATTCTAGGATTTACCAATAAATCATAGTAAGAGTTATTTGTTATTGGTCTGGTGTGAATTTGGTTTAGGTTATAGTAAATGTTAACCTTTGGATTCGAAAGTTGTTTCATTTGAAATAAACATCTAGTATTTAACGAAAAGAACAATTATATATAAATTAAAGAACAGCTATTTTATTGTAATATTTCAATCGGTTAATCAATATTTCAATGCATTCTACAGAATTTAATATTGAATATTGAACTTTTGAATCGTTCGGCATCAAACCAAATGGCGGAGAGTTGCTTTCGACTGCCAAGGGTTAAGATTTTCCAACTGTCTTCGTAAAAGTACGAAATAAATATTAATTTTATAATATTTGGAATCGATACTGATATTAGTTGATAAATGTTAGAATTTTCCGGAGAAATTTAACATTTTCAAATATCGGGCTTTCACAGTAACAATTACATTTCAGACCTGTTAATCGATTTCTGGACATCCTCTAAGTAAATAATATTCGTATGACACATTGCTGAATACAAAACAACTTAAACGTGAATAAAACCATGAACAAATCACGTTTGTTGTCTCGTCGATCGTCGTATGGTGGTCAGAAACGAGGAGTCGTCGCCTCAATCCTTTCGACATTTCGTATATTCATTATATGCATGTATATAATATATATATATATATATCTTTCCAGCTTGCTCTCGTGAATTTTAGAATTTCTGTCTTAGAGTATTGAAGATACAAAAACTACGATAGAAAACAGAACAGACTTCGAATACTTTTTTCATAAGTTTTTTTTTCTTTTTTCCCCTTAGTTTTGTTTCTTCGTCGCCTCATTTTGAATTCCACAATCAACATCAACGTCGTTTTATATTACTATTTACTTTACTCGTACTCTTATCGTTTTATTAGTATTATTGTTATCATTAGCGTCGCCCTTATACGTGTACTTGTATATATTTATATTTATATATTCATATATGCATGTACGGTAAATTCATTCAAGCTTACCAGTTAGTTCCCTTATCGTGTAATACCGTAACTAATAGTTAGCGTCCCCTTGTCTTCGCGTTTACTTTTTTTATTTTTCAGTTTTTCTTCTAATCTTGTTGTTTATGATACAGATTGTCATGTTCGGCTTCTCGTCGCCGGCAAATATCTTTCGGAAACTTCTCTGTTTCGATACTGTTTCGCATTCTGGACGAAAAACTATTCGTATTCCCTCTGTTCTCTCGGTCCGGTACGACTACAAGATGGTCGCCGAGCGATCGCAGCGCCATAAAATGGCGGCTACACTACTTTCACCGCATCCAGACACGATCGCACGATTTCTCTAATTAATTCGCTTCGTCTAATCGACTCTAAGCCTCAGTTCTTCGCTCGATTAATTAATCGACTAAACCTCGCTCTCACCTTTATCCCTAAAACGATATGAAATTTGTGCATTTCTCCAAATTCGATCGTCCGCCGAATCGATGAAACTTCTCGAAACACGATCGAAGACTCCCTCTCGTTCCCTTTCGCGAAGGGAAGCGTCGCTTTTTATATTTTCGTTGCGGATGATCGGTGATCGGGGCGAAAACGATTTTTCTTACGAGCTAAGACATCTACGTCGCGCGACAGACGTGAAAGCTGATTACAATTCCGCTCGAGGAAGCCCGAAGCGAGACTTTCGTCGATGGTCTCACTGTTACATCAGGCTTCGTGAACCCCTCGCGGTTTTTCGTTCTTTTTTTTAAAAACACCGACCGAGAACTTCGTTCCAGTTGACACGCGGCCTAAACGAATTCTCAGCGATTCGAGTTTCCCGGAAAACAGACGGGATTCGGATTTCCGAGGCGATCGATCATCACAACTCTCGAAGCGTTTTCTCTGAGTGATTATCTAGACGATGAAGTCGTGGCTGAAATATTGTTTTCTTTTTCCTTTTGTTCTGTGTGGAACACAAGCGTCGCTATTTGATCATGGCGAACCTTCGGTTAGAGTCTACTTCTCAGGTACACGTTGATTCTTTTCCCATCTACGAGGGTTTGAAAGAATTTATATTTTCCACGCGTATTTCTTACATTCCGCAGTCGAAGCTCTTCTGGTTCTGCACGTTCTTCTCGTACGTTTTCAAACACGCGTCTACGTTCTTGTACACGCCGGTGTCCGCTTGCTGCGTGAGCGTCTTCAGGATATTCTCGTTTCTGATCGCGTGTGATGGTAGGACGATCTGGAAAATAGTGCCCATCGTTAATTAACTTTATCTTCCGGTGTAGGTTGAAAAGGATGAAACTGTTGCTTCATAATTTTAATGTCGTTTCCTTTAAACATCATCATCAAATATGCATTGCACATTCTTATCGTACAAAATTGGAACATCTACTTTCACTAAAAATGATTAATTTCTTTAATAACCTAACTATAATTAATCTTTAGTACTAAAATACCGAAAGAAAGCTTGGAAGTTAATTGTCATATCTAATTTACTAATTGAAACATGTTTGAATTTAATGTCAGATCTTCAGATCAACACTTGAAATATAACAATCATACATCTCCAATCATCAAAAAGGAAACAACAACTTCCCTCTTATTCGCTTCCCTTATTCCCTCACCCTTATGAGCTCCTGCGGCGATATCCTACAAAGCTCCAGATTTTTACTGAGCCTCTCCATGATGCACTTCAACTCCAACTTCGGGTCAGAGATCTTCGTCTTGGTCTTGATCCTGTGTTTTGCCCAGCTCAGCATTGCCTCGAACTTCGCGATCTCCTCGACCTCGAGGTTGCTGCCCATGATCATCTGCACCACGGACTCGCTCAGTGTCAAGAATCCCGAGTTCTTGAACAGTTGGTTAGCTCTGGTCTTGATGAACGCGAGGATCATGTTGAATAGTTCTCTTGCTGATTCGTACCGCCAGTAGTAGTTCTCCAGTGTGCAGAGCATCACGCAAACGATCTCGATCCGCAGAAACTGTTTCGCGTGATGGAAACACGCCTGAAGAAGATCGGGCAGGTCATAGTGCTCTGCCGCGGAGATCAGACCAGGTATGTTGCTGCAGGTTAGAGGACAGGAACCAGTGTGCAAGTAGTCCAGAAGGATTCTGAATGTTTCTGGATCGAATTCGACGATGTTAAACTGGAAATCAAGGGATGCAAATTAGATTAATAGACCCATGGCTGATGAATGATTGCCAAGTACACTGATAGCGAGGTAAGCTAGATAAGTTGTTAACCGTATGTTTAACCTATTAACTGTGGAATTTAATTAGAAATAAGTTAGTTTACTTTACTAAATAGTAAATAATAGTTTACTAGTAGTAGTTTACTTGAAATAGTAGCGAAAATGAAAAGCACACAAAAAGCGAACAGTAATAGTGAAACTGATAATTTTAAATCCCGGTTCCTATAAACCATCTACAACCTGTTAACTGTGAAATTTAGTTTGAAAAAACTTTCGTTTTACGAGTAGTAAAATTAAAAAATGATGTGTGATGTCGTCAAATCTGGGACGAATTCTCATAGGATATATCTTAATGAAAAACCAAAGCAAGAACAGTTACATGTTTGCCTGAAAAAGTAAAGAATTCATCGTTAAGAGACTTAGCATCATTTCAAACTTTAAGATGACGTGTACACTCGTCAAACACAGTTAACTGGTTAATAGATTCGTTGGTTATGCCAGTTTCGTGCTTACCTCCGTCTGCGCTAACTTTGCACTGTCCACCTTCTGCGCGTTGACGAACACGCTGAGCCTTGGCGCTGCTAGCTGCTGAGCAGCTTTTTCTTTTTCTTTTGCCTCTTTGTCTTCTGCAATACGATGAAATTACATGGTGGAATATTTTATATTGAATATTTTATATAGAATTGTATAATGTAGTACTCTATGTATTTTATTCGAAAACTTTCTATTGTTTTCAGCTTGCCTATTTGCAATATTTATTACTGCATTATAATATAAACCCCACATTGAAAAGTAAAACGACTAGACTTTGGATTACCCAATATTTCAAATGTAATATTACCTATAACATTTGTTAGGAAAAATTTCTACTATAATTATATTTTTCTAATCATATTCCCATAAATTTTAATTTGCACGAAGATCCACAGTTCACGAATAACTTCTACTCTCCCAAGCGATATTCTCAAATTAACACATTAACCGCCACGGTGGTCACCGACGAGCTTCCAAATTACTTGAAAATAATTACAATTCGTAAGATAATCGACGTATTAGAAATATTCAATAGCATGAATAACTAGATAATAGTGCAACATAAGAATTGTGATACCAAACAATTGATAATCCTTCTCTTTAATCTTCGCTACTAAAAATTAAGTTACACCTAAAACGCTGCAGTTCTCCGTGTTAACACGTTGACTTAGTTTAAACGAACACGATACCACGAAGCAAACTACACGAAATGGAAAAAGATATGATATTGAATTATTGAATTAAACTACCGTCTTGTTATTACACGTTTATCTCGTTGAATCTCATTGCACTAGGTAATATTATTTATAATATAGGAATGTTTTCAAATAGTCACCATTTGATTCAGTGAATTATAGTGATTTGATTTGGTTGGGGGTCACCGGTGATCCCCAGGGCACTCAATGTGTTAACAACTATACATGTAAACTTCAATCGGTCACGAAGTACTAGAATCAAGTTGTTCAACGTACTGCTGCAATCCTGGGAACTTGCCCAGCGTTTCCGATCCTCGGATTGCAGGGTGCTGCCGTCGCTGTCCTTCCGCATGCTTCTTCCCGAGCCGCTTTGGAAGCCAAAGAACTTCGAGAACGCGCGTTTCATCATCGGCGAGGGCGGCACACTTTTAGGTCTAAACAGGTCAGAGCCAGTATCTCACAGAAACCGCAGAGCGGCACCTCAAGGTACGGAGAGGGAGACTTTGAGGACGTTCATCAGGTGATTGAGAGGGACCTCGAGGGGTAGGTAATCACTGGGTACTTAATTTCGGAACGTTATCGATCTATAGACGAATAACGAGACAACGACGAAAGCTCGTCCCAACATTCTTTCACGCGGACTACTACTTTTGCGTGCGATAAAGAAACGAATTAATAAAATTTCTTGGCACACCCGCCCCTTCCTTTTTCTTTCGACGAAATTTTGCTTCCAGTCAGCTGTACAGATCTTTGCATGCCGATAGCTCAGTTTAAGAAGGTAATCCGATGAATGCATGATACGGGGAGATATCTGAAATTTTTGGAATTCGGGGAGAAATGTTTCTGGTCGACCCGAATGTTTGTGACTCTGTATCTCATTGTAGCTTATCTGGTCGTGTACTATTTCTGGAGTATGAATATAGAGTATACTTTGTATTCGATGTGATATAAAAAAATTTGTACTGTCTATCTATCGAGTGAATGATAAATAAAGAATACTGAGGATTATTTACTAATGAATAAATTAAATGATGTTGTTAGTTGTATATATTTGATATTAAAAGAACGTTTGACTGAATTAGCTCTGTTTCTATTGAAAATATTTACTTAAAAGTAAGCATTAGAATATTTATACAGGATTATAATATTATCATGTTGTATTATAATATTTTATATCTTATACAGTATTAGATACGTCCATGTAAATAATTCTACGAAACTTGCTGAAATATTCGTACATATAAGCTGAAAATAAGATAATACGCGTCGACATGTTTTCCAAGACATTCCAAAAATTTCTTGCTACTTTCTGCTTTTGTCTGCATTACCCTCTCAAATTACAGCGATAAAAATAGTGAAGAGACCGTTCGATAGAACCGCAGCAAGGCACACGTGAGAAGAGAACTTACGTAGAGGGAAACGAAAATCTCGTTCGAAGCTGAGAACAGATTCTTGCAGCGACAGTACGTCTTTTCGTCGTTTAAAAAGAAAAGAATTATTTTTCCTTCGGTACTTCAAAGAGTTCATGAAGAAAGAAATATAAACATGCCACATGTCATTCACAGTAACGGAGATATCGGATCGCAGACCTCGATCGCTTCTTGCATCACAGGGAAGAAAGTTTCAATTGGCAGCCGATAGAACGGAATTTCTCTCTGATTAGTGTGAAAGTAAATCTCATGCGGTGCTGTGAGGATAGGAGACATGGAAGTGCCGTGAGAAGTATACACATAATTACGATTAATATATACAAGACGGAAGTACATTCGATCAACGATCTCAAGTCGCAAGTTCACGCAGGCAATCAAGTCTCTCACCGTTCGAGCAAGTTCCAATTCTCTTATCGCTGAGTAAATCCAGTTTGTTATTTCAAAATGTCTATAAAACCCATTGTTCGCCCATCCAAAGTAATACACAGTATAAAATCGAAGGGTCTTTGCATCGGTGAACTATGTGCATTATCCATTCATTAAATATACAAGGTGTTCCGTAATATGTGAACACGATTTTATTAAAAAATTCAACACATAAATAGATAACAAGATTAATTGACGTTTGTTCCGTGTAATTTCGTTTTATAATTTCAAATATTTTTGTGTTCAAAGTTTTTAGTGCAAAATTATAAATTATATTTTCTTTCTACTTTATGTTTATCTTGGTAAATCTTGTTATTGATGAGGTAATTGTTTAATATAATTTATAATGTGTAAAAGATGTAGAATTCGGTGCAATATTACAATACTACCAATTAAGAAACAATCGAGGAAGTGATATTCAACACTGAAATGGATTGGTATTATACAATTGCTAATAGTTAAACATTTCGAAAAAATAATACACTAAAGATCATACATACAGATCAAATCGATAAAAAGTAAGCGTCTTCGTAGAAGTAAATTTTTTACCTTTTTATAAGAGGAATAATAACAAGGGTTTCTAAACATTGAATCTTATGGGCGAAGAATGAGTGAACGCGTCGTCAATATCTCGAAACAGAGTTCCGATCGACGATTTTGTTTCGTTTCGAATTTCGATGACT